TGATTAAAAATTTTAACATTTGATGTTTGAATTCGTTTAGGTGTATAAAGGTTATCATCTGTACCAAATTTTGTAATTTTATCTTAAATGGTTTCAGAAATATTTGCAAAAACATATTAGCCCTCTTCCAGGGGATGTAGCTCCCTTACCAAGCATTTTTCGATACATGTTTATAGGAAACTTTTGTCTTAGAATTGAATATCCTATCACCTGTTTAAATTTGTAACAATAAAAACGGAACACCTTGTATAATTGATATCAAGTATATTTCGTTTTGTATTGGTTTTCTCATTTTTTTGTTATGTAACATTTAAACTAGGTTTTTATAGAGTAAAAAACAGGCATTATCGAATAATGTTAGCAAAATCATTACAAAAATGTTGTCAATTTTAACAAATATTGTGCGTTATTATATACATTTTGTAAAACTTTTTTGTTATAATGAATAAATTTTTAATGACAATCGTATATTTTAATGTTAATACAGGGTGTTAAAAAAGATTGTCAAATATTTCAGGAGGTAATATAGTATGGACCAAAACAAACAAAAAAGTTTTAATAAACATGGATTCTCAAAGTAACCGTTTCGGGGATACCGAAAATTATTTGTTTTGTGAAACATTTATTTGCAGTCTGTTCAAATAAAAAAAGAAGGTTTTAGTAAAAATTCTAAAAATTTTTTTATTCGATAACTCTGAAACTGTTACTTTGCGGACCCATGTTTATTAAGACTTTTTTTTGTTTATTTTGCTCCATACTATTACTTCCTTAAATATTTTACAATTTTTTAACAGCCTGTATAAAAGGAGAAATTTATAACCAATATTCCTGTAAAAATATTTTTTAATGTTTTATTGAGATCCTTCATAAAACAAACCTCTATAACGACTAAAATTTTTGGTCTCTAGTATTTTCGTTGTACAGAGGTTCTACTGTATTAACTGTAGTATTATACAGGTGTTCCGTTTTTATAGTTACAAATTTACACAGGTGATAGAATATTTAATTTTAAGATAAAAGTCTTCTATGAATATAATAAAATCAGTTTAAAATTTATGTTACAGGCCA